TGATAAATAATTCCTGTTTTGGTATAACAACATTCATTTAGGGTATTGCACAAGACTTTTAGAGAGACTGAGCTATTGCAGTCAGGTTGTTGATTGCATTATGCAACATTGAGAAGGGGCGAAACAATGCTTTAGATTTACATCTGTGAAGATAAAAATAAACTGATATTAGACATCTTTTCTCTTAACTAGTCAAAATCACTGTCAAAAAAGTGTAACACCTAGTATGAGGAAGTCTACACCTGAAGTCTTGAAGAAAGACTCTCTGCAGGAATGAAGGAGAATAACACTGTGAAAGGCATGTAGATAAATTGAAGGTATTTTTGTGATATCATTTTTTAAAATAAAAGTATGGATTATAGGGGTAAAACATGCAGAATAAAGACATGTAATTAATACTAAAAATGATCGTGTGATTTAGAGCATTCACAGAATGAATGAACTGTTCACGGAGTGAATAGTTTATCTCTGTATACTTCCTGATTTTATTAGGAAAATATATGTGTAAAGATGATTGATAGAAAATTCTTGTTTCTCACTGTATACTCTCCTTCACAAGTTGCAGTGTTTCAGTGTTCCCAGATTTGTTTCGGAGACTTGATGTATCAGAGAAAATTTGCAGAAATTATGCACACGTTTACTTGTTATATCTTTATTTTTCCAGTAAGTGCTTTACTCTCCTCCTTTTGAATATTAGGAATTAAATACTGTCATGTGTTCTGCAGGATCTATCCCTTGGTCACATTTTAACCAGCAGCTAAAGCAAATAAAATTGCAGTACATATACTAATAAATGTGTGCCTGTGTATGGGTGTCTGCCTGTACTTACTTATATACACACTCGTATTCCTATGTGTAGTAAGGATGTGTGTCTGTTATGCCAGTATCCTCATGAGACTTCAAACTGAGCTAAAATTGAGGTGGTGAAACATGGTGGAATGATAGTGGTTGAAAAGGTTCTTGGCTTATGAAAGAGTAGGATGATAAAGGAGGGGGGAAGGAACCCCAAATTCAGGGTGCTCTGGATGAGAGGGTTGGATCTTGTTTTGCCTTTAATCTTACTCGGCTCTGAGCCTTCTCTTGTTTTAAGCAAGAGCAATGTTCCCGGTGGTGGAGATTTGGAAATTTAATGGTTTTTAAGGATATCTAGAAAATATTATGCTTGAATGGGGAAAGTGAAAAAAGACTATAATTTGTTTGAATTACATAGATATTAAGTTCATAGATAAAGTTAAAAGATTCTCTCTGTGACCAACTTAGGTGTTGAATTGATTATTTTTATTTTGCACTATGACAATTATTGCTAAGTCAGGAAATTGTATTTTGATGTGAGCTCAAATAGTTACGTTGCTTTAATTACATATTTGGAAATAAAAAAGGCTGTTGAGCTATGTACAGTATGTGTAACGTGAAATGTTTTTCATGAGATTCACACAGGAATGGATTTCAGAAATGTCCAAATACTATCCTTATATTTGAATGATTGTACTTTCATCATTTTCCAGTGTAGCATGATAGTGTGAAGTTCCAACACCTTTTTGCTTCTACAGCTTTTCTGGTGATTTTATTTTAGCTGTATAGTTTTTACTTCTCTGTCATGAATTTAGTCTATGTGAAGGCCAAGAGGTGGAAGCCCTCTATTATTCCAGGGCTATATAGGACTCTCTGCACTGCTGTATCAGGAAATCTCAAGTAACAGTTTTATGATGTATGAGGATATTATTCTCTGCAAGTAATAACAAGCACTTCTATTTCCCCAGCAATATCCACATAATCAAACATTCACAAGTGCTTTACAAAGAATTTAATTAAATAGTGTGCAGAGTAGCTGGATGCAGCATGCACACCAGCTATTATATATTCAGCCGTTCACATTTTTGCAGTTAGTGCAGAACGCTTCTGAGCAGTACAATGTGTGAATGATATTTCTATGAAAACATGCATCGTTGCCCCTTTTTGTGCCTTGCTTCTTAAAAAATACACTATAACCTTAATGGATGTCAGCTCTGGGAACATAGGGTACCTTCCTCAATTCTCTGATGGTATGATAAGCAGAGGGAAGTACTAATTAGTCTATTGAGACTTGAATCTGAAATGCTGTGCCTTTACCTGCTCCACAGATAAAGGTACGGATTCATGTGCCTTTTACCACGAAAGCCAGATGTGTTTGGAATTTTGTTTAAAGGTATTAGAAATTTAGGGAGCAAAAGCAATTATCTGCACAGTCAAGATCCACCACGAAAGAATGCCATTTCCAAATTAACGCTAAGACTGACAATTCCGAGTTTAGACATAGACAATGAGAAGAAACAGTTTCTCATTTTGAAATAATGAATACACTCAGAGTGCGGTCTGTCAGCTCCGAAAGTTTAAGGAAGTCTGTTCTTTGGCAGCAGTGTGCAGTGCATCTGACCCTCAGTCAGGAAAAGTTAAGAGGGTGTTTGTAGTGCACTTCTCAACTCATTCAGCATTTTGTTGGTGTGCGCATGGCACCTACAAGGATTAACATTCTGGTAACTAACAGGGTTATCTATTACCTTCTGTTTTGTCAGTTCAGAAAAGCACTGTAAGCATTAGCCTATGCATGAGAGCAGCTTCAAGGCTTGCAGAGCAATGGGGCTGTGTTGGATCACAGTGATGGAGAATATTTCTTTGCTGTTATATACCTGCAATGCAGTTAGCTTTCCATCAGACTGGAAGGTTTTACTGATATGTGAGGTGTATAGAATATCCATCTAAACCAGCAGACCAGTACTGATGAAGTAAATACTGAAAGGCAGCCTGTACTTAGGCTATAAAGGTGTTCAGATGGGGGAGAACTCCATTCCTGACTGTTAGGAGACCTCACCCTAGATTGCTGGTTCCACAGTGTTATTCCAATTTATTACTGACTCACACTAACAAAAGCTGTCCGTTATGACTGATGAGAAAGACCAAAAAGCTACAAACAAACCTAAAAGAGAGGAAGTAAAAGAAAGGATCAGTTAAAAGTACGGAACTAATTTTTCTTTTATGTTAGTTTTATTCCAGTGCTGCTCTGCTGATTTGAGGGGAATTGCTGAAAACTTAATTGGTGTGAGTTAGGACAGAATCAGTCTCTCTATTCTTCTTTTGAAGATGTCTTTTGAAGGAAAGTTTAATTGCTGTAGGAAAAGTTATAGCTTTCTTTATAGACTTGACAATGGGAGAAATCCCAGATTCATGTTAATGAAGACTTGCCATTAACTTCAGTGATTTTATCCATTAGCCTTTGTATTCTCCCTCCCCCTGCCCCCTTTTTTTTTTTTTTTTTTTTTTTTTTTAATCCTTATCCCTTCTTTATATGACAGACAGGATTTTTTTCATTTTGCATGTCAGTTGAAACAAACTGCAGTTATTCCAAAAGATGAGCATGTTTCAAGCCCCAACTAAAGAAAAAAGCAAAGCATGTAATTTTGAGTTTACTGGCATATCTACTCTTGAACGCTATGGTTTTGATTTTTGCTTTATTTGCTTTAATCAGGTTATTGTTCCAATGTCTGGCTTTATGTAAAATAGTTATTTGCTACCGTTTGTAAAATGCCTCTCTTTACAGTTTGGATATTTTCAGTTACCTTGTATTTGGAGGTAGCTACTAGGCTCTCTTTGTGCTCCCACTTGAGGTTTATGATTGTTTTGCATCTTGCAACAGGCCTTTCTTGGGACAACTGGCATATATCCAAATTCCCCATTCCTAATATTTCAGTGGCAACTTCCTGTGTATCCCAAAGTAGAGCCCCTGCTGTCAGGTTGTTCTCCAAGCCAATTCTACCACATAGATCAGCAAGCCAAAACAGACAAATTTAGATGTATCTGGGCTCCAATAGAAATTTTCTTCTTCAGGTTAAGAAGTCAGCCCAGAGACCTTTTATCCCCCACAGTGAAGCACCACCTAGACATACTAGTGTTAGTTGCAAATGAACTAGCTTTGGAATGAGAAGTTATTTAGCCAAGAGTAGAGTGTGACAGCCAGGCTAATTAACTAAGAAGCCAGGCTAGTTAGTTCAACTGGAGCACCATGCTGATGTGACAGTATAGCTTCCAAAATTCTAGCTGATTTCTGCACTGGTTGCACTGGGCTTCTTGTAGTCACACGGGTTGTTCTGGGCTCTTTCTAATAGTTTTATCATGGAGTCCAACTGCGTTTTGGTTTATTCCCTATGTCATTTTACTATAATTCTGGATGGATGTTGAAACACTGTTTTGTTGAACCTCATGCCACTGAGAGAAATTCCATACCACTCTTTTTTACATGCTGAGGGATTGTCCCATATTTATCTTAACAGTTGGTCACCTATTGTAAACTGAACTGAAGTAATATTCCTGAATTTGAATACTGCACTGTTGTTTCAGCCTGCAAGGCTGAGAGGTGGCTATCAGCAGTCCTGTCCTCAGAGGATGCATGCTCATAATATTGCAAACTGAAAGATACCTTGTTATGTAAGAACTAATATTTTAAAAATCTGAGCAGCTTGACATCTTTTTAGTCATTATAAAGCAGTATTTCTTCAATGCTTCCTTTAGTGTTAGTCCTTATGTACAGTTTGTTATGTAAGGGGCTCATAAGGGAGTCACTTTCATGCAAAAATAAAAAATACTTTTGGTAAAAGTCTGTATTACTGCCTTGACTGTCGTGTATTAAACATGAGAAGCAGTATCAAACCCAGAAATAACTGAACAAAAAAGTATTTTTAAAAAGCTAGATTCTGTATAGAAAACTTCTTCAGTTAGAATACTATGTACTGTTTTACAGCAGTAATGAGGTAATTATGAAATATGCGTGAACAGACATGTAAGAACAAAAATGGCTATTTTATTAATGTTTTTTAGATATTACTGCTAGAGAGCTGAAATTAACAGTTTTGTTTTAACATGTTTAGTATTTAAAATGTCTTTAATGATAGTTTATGACTTTTACTTACAAATAGCTCTTCAGCATAGTAGCTCCCACAAGCAATTAACATGTTTTGTTCTGTTTCTAGATCTGTTAGCTGTGCCTAAACATCCGTATGCTGCTATGGAGAACTGGGGACTGAGCATTTTTGTGGAGCAAAGGATACTGCTAGACCCAAGCATTTCTTCTATATCATACCTACTGGATGTCACTATGGTCATTGTGCATGAGCTATGTCATCAGGTATTAAAAGTGTTCAGATATTTGTTATCAACCTCAGAAATCAAGCATTCCTTATCAAAGCTGAAAATGAATGTTTGCGTTTTCATACAGGTGATTGCAACTTTCATTCTAACTGTAGTCAAAATAATACGGAGATCTGTAAGATATGTAATAACAATGCAGAAAATAGGAAAAATCAAAATGGGAATAAAGGAGAATTAGCAGTGATGAAGAACTTGCCTGTCTTCTATATGATTATATTCTCTGTGTTTGTGTGTAGAGTAAGCACACTGATAGCTGTAGAAAATAATTTACTGCAGAATTATAGCAGATGAATGTTGAACTTCGTGTTTGTGTTAAAATTTGCTTGGGCTGAAATCGATTTGATAGTCTTGTTCTTCTTGCATCACATACATGCATACTTCCTTTTTTTTTTTTTTTTAACGTGGTATTGACCTTCTGTTTACTAACGATGGATAATTGAGTCTTTATGTGTACAGAAACTTTTGTATCAATAAGAAAACTTGTAATAAACCCATATTAATTTATTTCACATATCTTTCATCTTATCTCAACTGAAACTTTGAGTGTTTAGTAATATTGAATTGAACGCAAATGTTATTGAAGAAACGTGCTACAGGGGCAGGAAACCCTTTTTTGCACTGGTAACAGGCATAATCATAGCCTTCAGGTTAAAATGTATGAAATCCTACTGTGTAATTAGCATGGCTTACATCTGTGACTTTACACAGGATTCTTTAAAAAGCAATGCAAATTCTTAACACTGCCTGCAAATAAAAAGTACTGTATAAAGGGGAGCCTTTGTAATGGAATACTGGTAGCTGAATCTGGAAATATTATTGTTTGGTTCATATTCATGTTTCATATTATATCTGTAGATGAATATTAAGTCCTCAACTCAAACAGGACATTTTTATTGAAAGTTATGGCTGATTTGTTCTCAGTATGATCATCTTATTTTGTTATACGCTCTTTATTGTACAGTACAATAGAGCAGCACACTATTCAGCTGGAAAAATCACAATGCCTTAGGAATCAAGTATGGAAAATACATATTTAGGCCATCAAATCCCTGCTCCTGTTAGTGTTAGATCCTTCCATGTAGTGCATTTTTCTTGTGCTGGGTTCAGTGTTCCTAATTACAGGGTTTCCACTGCTTCCCTTAGAACGTTTCCTATAGCTGGTTAAATCTCATGGTCAGTAACTTTTTCCCTTGCGTTCAGCTTAAGTCTTCCATTTTCTGAAGTCATTCCATTACTTCCAGTTATTCTTTGAACAATTTTAATAGTTTCTTCTCCTTCCAAAGCAATTTATACTTCAGATGTGAGCAATTATCACATCAATAATTTGCCACGTTTATTTACTTGATTCTCATTGAAACAGAGGCCTTTCAGCCTTGCTCTGAGAACGTAAGAGGATCTTGAAGGGTGTGAAAACTGTATTTGAATTTATTTTAGGGTCCTTGTGTGGTCATAGAGTACTTTTAAGTGGCTTTAGTACAAATGAGAAGTCCATGTTGGTATTATTTGCGATGCTGTTTGCCTGTTATAAGTATCTTTCTTACTCCATTCATGTTGTTGCTGTTTCTGTTTTAGTTCTATGCAGATCAGGGCCTTGCTCAGCTACTTTTCTGGGTAAATAGACAAGACAGAAAAAGTTCAGGTGGAAGAAGTATTATTTATATTTTTTAGATGCAGAATTTAGTCACAGAGAATATGAACTGGTCATCTGCAAATAAACTTCTAAAAGGAGAAAATTCTCCAGAAACACATGCCCTGCATGTCTAGTACCTCAAACTTGGTATCATCTTTATTTGAACATTTTTTTTCTGCTTTTATCTTAGCATACTTTATAAGCCTCTCAAGGAAACTTTAACTCTGGATGGCATATAGCAGTAGCTATAAACTGTATTAGGTTAGCTGCAGGGGTGTTGAACTGAGGCCAGATTGGGCCCAGATTCTCTTGCCTCTGCTGTTTAGTTGTTAATTAATTATTCACTGCGTTTTTTGTCCTCTTTTGCTGTGCAGAACCTCATCTGCTAACCTTGGGCGGCACATGAATATTCCTTCCCTTCACTCATTTTCACTTAGAATAACAGATATTAACCAAAATCACTTCTAGTGGAGCTAAAAGTAGAATCCACATCTCTAGTATTTAGTTTTAATCTTTATTTATTAATTTTGTAAAATTTCAGATAAGTAGAAAGGACCCTACCCTAAAATATATGTTTTCTTTTTTAAAAAAGTATATCTTTCCAATTCCTTGCCTTATTTCATCACAGAGTTCCCTCTCCGATTTTAATCCCATAACTTCGAACTTTGATACTTAGAGAACAAATCTAACTACAGTTGTAGACTGTCCTGTCACTTAGGGCAATGTAGCGAACACTTTGCTAATGGTGTACGCAACATTAGAAAAATTAGACAAATGTTAAGACTTGGGATGGTTACCTTTATGAGATGACTGCTTAGAATCCGAGTTCACAAGCCCCTTGTGCATGAACGCTTGAGTGCTTGTGGTGGTCATCTGCAGTGTTCAGGCGCAGATAGAAAATTAGAGATAGCATTGCAGTAGTATATAAGGACATTCTCTGGTTGTCAAAATATAGGTGCAAAGCATACAAGACAGAATTTTGTGCCTAATTTTTCCACAGATGACTTTATCATGTCTGACTGGATTGTTGTTTTAGATATGTTTTAGGAATGGCATATTAAATTTACCCGGGTAGGTTTAGCTTTGTCATTTTGCAAGTTGTCAGTGCTGATATTTCAGCTAGAGTATTTTTTAGAACATTTTATGTATTTAATTAGAAAATTAAGAAGTGGAAGAATAAGGAATGTTTCAGCATAAAAACTTCTCCTCCAACAGTAATATAAAGCCCCAAAGCACAAATGAGATATTAGTCAGTGCACACATAAGTAGCAGCTTAAGTTGATAGCTCCAAATAATTACCATAATTTATTAAAGTAATTCTATTAAAGTAAGTAGTAATCCATTTTATTTGCATATCACATATCAGCCCTCTCTACAACATTTGAATAAAAAGTCATTTGAACTTAAGCACCATGATTTTTTGTGATAGATGACCCACCTGAGTACAAAACTTGGTATGACAGAATGAATTAAATGGGCATGAATGCAGAAGGAAAACTAAAAATTCCTAAATTACTGTTTTTTTTATAATCTGCAAGGAAAGTATGTAGAAAAGAGTGTCCTTTCATTGTGCCTAAAATTAAAATAAGTGCTTTCTTGCTGTCAGGGTGAACATAATATCTTCAGGAAACAAGCAATTTATGCAGTCAATACATATTCCATATTCATCTTTTCCTTGATAATGAAAAGAAATAATGATCTTCACTCAATCCAAATAGTGACCATATTCGAATACACAAACAAACGAAGTGCTATACTTAATGTTGTCTTTTCAGACATCTATCATGTAGGAAGGTAACAGCACCTTTCTGCTTGAAAATTTGACTTCATTAATTGCAACCTCTGTGACTGCTCTCTCTCTGACATTTGTCAATATTCAAGAACAGTTAGGCAATTCTTACACTTTCATATTGGTATTATATGCTGTTTTAATACCTATAGAAATATTTCTTCCTTTAGCTGAATAATTAAATTAGTACTTTTTGTCATTACTAAATAAAAATGGAAAATTCCCAAGAGTAGTGCTACTGCATAGGAAATACTCCTTTGTGACTTCGTAAATTCTGAAAGTATTAAAACAAAATTTTCCACTTTTCTGCTAAGAAGTCACAGCTATGTTCTCGCCTAAGTCAAATGTATTTTTATCAAACTTTAACGTAACTCACTGTTTAATAGATAATTTTGTTAATGCTTTTGAGTTTCAAGAGGATGTATCATGAACTTTATATCCTTTGTTTTGTAAACCTTTCTCTGAGTAGTCACAGCATACCAGATGTTACTGGTTTCATATTTGTTCAGCAGTCTTATTGTAATTTAAGAAATAAACACTGTGGTATTCTGTTTAATCTTTTTTTCATTAGAAATCTTTTCATTAACCTATTCTAGAATAAATATACCTCTCATAACATACTGCTATAACTTTTCAAGTGGTCAAAAGTGCGTAATATAAAGGTATATAAATTCATTTTTAGTGTTGCTTTGTCTTTTCAGGTAAATGTTCGTTAGAACAGAATCTCTCTCTATTGATGCTGTGGAGAGTGGAATTTACTGATACCATTCAAGTAGATTATGATTACTGAATGTCCCTTAATTTCAGTTTCACTTGGCATAAAATTAGAGTGAATATGACTTTTGTTAACCCCATCTTTTCTCCAGAAATTCTTAAATTCATTGTCACCTCTTAATGTTTTGCTTCATTTTTTCACTCATATCCTATTTACTGCACATTGTGTGGCAATCTGATAATCAGAGTTCCTGTAGTGCGTTCTTTGCACCTCTTGTGTTTAGCTTACTCAGGTTCTTTAGGCATAGCATCAACCCTTCCTTGGCACTATTATCACCCCGGAAGGATATGCACAGAAGCAAGGCCTTTCATTCGGGTCCCAGACAGACCCGATATACAGGCAGTCATGCAAGCAAACTTGCAACCTGCTTACTGGCCAACTCTGCTTTCCTTCACTCCCACTCTCTTTACAGCGACAGCAGCAGCTTCTGTGCTCTGACATGAGTCTCTCCCTGTGGAATACTTACTTGCTGCTCCTTTTCTGTTTATTTTTATAGCTTATGACTCCATGAAAGCTCAAAATTTTCTCAGTTGATGATAAATTAATCTCTTTCCTAGTCATATTAAGAAAAAAAAAACTGGCAGAGAATTTTACTGAAACAGAGTTTTGGTATTCGTTCAAGAAAAAAAAAAGGTGCTACCGAGACTGAAATATGTTTTCAAAATATTGTATGTGTTTTTGTTCTTGTGTCTTGTTAAAATAATCCGGTTTGTTAAAATAATCCAAGGCCATTCTAATAATTTAAACAGGGTGGTCCACGAGCAGTGGAGTTGATGACATCTGATTTCCTGTGAATTTTTATACTTAATATCCTTTCCAGTGATAATCCCAGATCGCTCTAAAATCCCTATAACACCCACAAGTCCTGTACCATGACGGGTTTGCAGCCACATCCCTGGGCCTGTTGACTGCTACTGAGCAGCATAAATAATGGCTGAGTTATTGCCTTGCCCTCAACTTTAGGTCCTTCTCCTCTTTTGAGCTGCTGATCTTCATGTAGTTTTGTGAAAGGTTAGTTATGTTTGAGATACCTGTCCTTTCTAAATTTGATTGAAGTCAGTCAGGAAGTTTAAAAGGTACTAGGGGTAATGGGACTGGCAGTAAGCTTGGATAGGTTTCTTTTGCATCAACGTAGGTAACCTAGTGCCATTTTGGATACCTTGTGCCTCCAGTTGCTATTCTGGAAGGCTGCAGATCTCCTGTATGTACTGTGTTAAATTTCCCAGGCCTGTGTGGATATCTCAGATGCCCTGGAACAGTCTGTGTGGCACTAGCTATCTTCTTTTAGGCAGCTGAATCCTGCCTGTAGAGAGATGGCATAACTACTGCTTTCCTTGGGAAACCAGGCAACGAACGGACTGTCAGAAGTGTTGTAAATCTTACGGCATAGACCTTGTAGAGGAAGAAACGAAGACAATTTAGGTCTGAGGTATGGAGGCTATTGTTCCCCGTTTTGCCAGGATTCCTGTTACACACAGTGAAGTTTCCAAATGATGATTCAGATTGCCTGAGTTAGAAGCCTGTTTCTCGCTATTGCCTCTGTTAGTTCCTTAAATCTAGGTGAGCATCTACATTAAATGACTAAAGTAGACACTGTGAATGCTCTTCTCAGCGCTTGTCCTCCCTCGCTTGTTCTTTCCTCTTTTACTTAAGTAACTCATGTAGCTCCTGTAAAGGGTTAATTCATTAGCATATGATAAAACAGTGTATGACTTTCAAAGGGATGGTATAAGCTATTGTTATTATTAAAACTTGTGTAGAGCGTGTTCCGTATAAATGAGATGTATGTGAACGTTGTTTCCTAAACATCATTTATCTGAACCTTCTTTGCAGTGGTTTGGTGACCTTGTGACTCCAGTTTGGTGGGAGGATGTGTGGTTGAAAGAAGGTTTTGCTCACTATTTTGAATTTGTTGGGACTGACTACCTCTACCCAGGATGGAACATGGTAAGTTTGTGTTATTTTGTTAATTTGGAGACGCCACAGAAAGGTCGCTTTCCTGTTATACTACTGGTTCTGTAACAGACAGAGACTGCTGAAAAATATCGAATGATGTATGCAAGTATCAGATGTGCAATAAAGCAAAATCACTAGGTGTGAAATAATTTGACAGCATTCTAAAAGTGCAATCTGCGATTTATTGCAAAAGAAATAAGGTCATGTCTATCATAACCCGGTGTTAAAATAACTACTGCCTCTCTCCTCAAAAACATTTTGGATTGAAGCAGTTATGATTTAACATGGACCATTTTTGAAAATGGTCAGAATATTGAATTTAATCCACAAACACAACATGAATAGGAAAGGAATGTTTGACTAAAACATCTGTGAAATTGAATATATTTTTACTTACAGTAAAAGTTCTGTTCTCTTCTCCTTAAGTTTACTCATTTTATCTTACTGCTACTATTTGGCCATCTAGCAGTAGATACTTAGTTAACATGGGTTAAATATTACTGAGGATCTAGGTTACAGGGTTATTGCTTAGGCTATATCACTGGGCGTGCTTTGTGAGCCTTGTATGCAAATTCTGGAGCTCTCTGAGGGAGAACTAGGAAGGGGAGAACCAGGAAGGCCACGCTGGGACAGTCTTTTGGAGGTTTTTGGTGGTCATGATCTATACTCCCTGTGTCATTTCCACTCATGCCTCAGATTACTTTTAGGTATCAAAAGCTGTAGTTAGTCTATGACTGTTATGCTTACTGGAAAAATGAGAGTTATGAGACCTCTGGATAAGGAAATAACCTATGAGACCTTGTTGAAGGTTGCTGTATAGATTTTATTGTCCTTCACAGAAATTTTCTGTTCACTGTCCTTTTGTGTTTATGCAGGTTTAATTACATGAGAAAATATTTGTTACAAACACAGATTGTCTGATGAAGATTTGTTGTAGCTTGAATGTTTTGGTTATCTCTTGCGCACTGACTTCTGAAATGGTTTTGTCCATTCTTGGGGATTTGTTTAGTATTCTTATGCTATTAATTTTTGTGTACCGTGAAATGACTTAAAATGAGAAATTTTTAAGATAGTTGTGTACAGGTACACTTGCTTTAAGGTGTGCTTATTTTGAAGTTGATTTCTCTGCAGTATTTAGTTTTTTATTTCAGGTATTCATTTATAATTGCATTATTAAAAAGGGAAATAAATCTTTATCTGAACTGACACCTGCCTTGCATAGGTAGGCTTGTTGGGTTCACCTAGCTTTGGCTGTAATAAAGCTCATTCCTTTCATCTTTATGAAAAACACACCCTGAATTACAATGTAATCATTCTAATTATAAATGCAATGAAATCTGGCAGCCCTTTATGATTTTAGCGTAGTGAAATGTCATAGATGACAACGTTTATACACTGAATTTTATCTTCAGATCATCACAGTCATTTGTTCTCCACATAATCAGTTTAACAAATCCAGAATAACTTTGCTTTAGAAGTCATTTGGAATACAGAATATTTGCTTTAGATTTCTGGGGAATGAGCATAATGTTCACTGTTATGCAAATGACATGCATATCACGTGAAGTCCTAGCGTCTTAACAGAATACAGGCAAAACGAAGGGGTTGAACAAGATTTGACAGTTAAACATGGAAATCAGACACATGTGCTGCATAAATTACAATTAACAACAGTAATACTGCTGTGCCTGAAAAAAATAGTAATCTGTCAAGTTTTTTTTAAATTAAAAAGGAGGTAGACATAAACTTTTCATGAGGCTTTGGCTATCACTGGCCTTTGATATCAGGATAACTATACTGACATACTTAAGTAGCTAGAAAATTCATGGCAAGATGGAATACTTGACAAGTTAAGCGTTTGAACATTATGCCATCTTTTACAGGCTACAGTAAGAATCAACAGTATGACGTTTCAACCTCATTATACAGATTGTAAGAAGGGGAAGCAAAAGCTATAGTTACTGGAATTTGGCTTGTTGGATATTTTTGTTATCGGTGCAAAGTGCATTTGCTGTTTAGATCAAACTAACGTTTGTAAACTTGAGCAAATAAAAAGTGAGCATTTATAAAAAAGAAAAGCTGTTCCAGACAACTTTGTTTTTTTCAGAAGTGAAGGATACAGTACAAGCTTCATGAATCAGCTGCAAGAACAAGAACTACAAGCCTTATTTTCGATAATGATGGTTAAACAGAGCAACATTTCAGCATTCTGGATGGTGCTTTGTCAGCAGTAATTCATACCTGGGAAATAAAAATAAAAGACGTCTTGGTATATGATAACATGGCTTTTTGTGTCAGGAAAACTAAGAGTAATATGTCAAAATCCTAGTTCTTTCTAAAGAATGGGGAAAGTTAGACAATTAACTTCTTTCTCTTTTAGTTTTAAAACGTTACCCTTATAATTTTCCTCAAGAAGGCCATGGACTAAAATGTCAAATGCAGCTTCTTTTTAGCTTATTAAAGTTTTTTTTTTCATATTTATTTTGGACAGATATAGAAGCAGAAAACTGGTAGTTACTTCCAGAAAAAGGACTTCGTTGTCTAAAAGTGCACCTTGGGCAATGTGGAAGCATCTGACTCAAAATGATCTTCCTAATTAACTTGTTGGATGCTTATAGGCCATAGACACATAAGCTTTCACCATTAAAGCTAGGTAACCACCTAAAGTGTTGCTTCTGCATGTCCAAAGATAATTCTCTTTTAGCAGAGCTGAGCATTTCAGTGTCCGTCTTATTTAGGATTCACAGACTTCATATTGCTGAATCGGAGACACCTGAGAGGAACTGTCCATTAGGCATGCTCACACCATTTTAACGCAAACCAACAGCTCTGCTCAGACACATGTCCGCTTTCATTAAGAAGGGCTGTATTCCCTCATTACAGTGGGGTCTGTAGTAGATACAGCCATGTGATTTCCTTCTTGCTACAGCATGGAATCATCCAGAAGTCCCAGGCCTTTACGTTCCCACTTCTGTTCAGTTTTTCAGCGTGATACTTTCAAGTTTTGTTCTCAGCCCAGGCTATCCTTTGTAATAGTACGTCTTGTTTCAGGGGATTTTGTCTTCCCAGATCTAGGACCAACCCTCTTCCTTTTACTTTTCTGTGGACGTTGCCTGTTCAGTGAGACTTCTCCAAGTCTCACTTGGTAAGCTTGTAAATATGGGCTTTATTTGAAACCTGTTTACCAGCTTTGCCTTCTCTTCTAGGCTAGTTAACTTGCTTAAGCATTTCCTTCTTTTCTGAGGGTCTTGATTTTATCAATTTTTCTTCAATCTTTTCATAGGCTCTTCTTTTACCTCAGGAAACATGGATAGACAATGAGATTGAACTGCCCTGGAGCACAAGCTGTAGCAGTTTATTGAGGCTTCCATCAGGTTTAGAATTTCTTGTCTTGTCCACAAGGCATTCACGTATTTCTTCAGGTTTGCATAGTCTTAATGACAAAGGAAATCCAAGGCTTTTAATAAAGCCTTCCCTCGTTATGCTCTGGATACCCCTGTTGTAATAATGGGTGAGCAGTAGTAAGAACAGAATGAACAGAGCTCTTCTGGCAGAAGCTTCTACACCTGTTGCAGTTAATATAAAATGTAACAGAAGATACATGAAGAACCGGACAAAGTTTTGCTAGTTTCAAAACAGCCGGCGTAGATAGGAAGGTGAGCTTTCTGTGCTGAGATCCTGCATAGTCCCATCAATGTTCTTATATCCTTTTTAAAATTTAAGTTAATTCAGGTCAAAACTAAAAACCCTCATTTCCTTCCTTCAGCTAAAACGTTAAGTCCCTGCATGTTACTTTTGATTC